GAATTGCTGACCGATTACAACATGCACCTATTCATTGAGAAAGGCTTGCGAGGTGGGATTTCCATGGCAACCAAAATGATACGCAAAAAGCCAATAATCAATATGTGAAGGGCTCCGACCCGGCAAGCCAACCAATCATATTCTCTACCTCGACGCCAACAACCTGTAACGGCTGGGACATGAGCAAGTATCTACCCACAGGGGATTCGAATGGGCATCGCCCGAGATCGATGTTATGAGCATCGCGCCGGATTCGAACAAAGGCTATACCCTCGAAGTGGACTTGAATACCCCAAGGCATTGCACACATCGCGATAACAGCTACCCCTGGCCCCGAACGTATGAGGGTTAACCCAGACTGGATGTCTGAGTACCAACATAACTTGCTTGGTGGGCGGGTGGCAGATGTTGAAAAACTCGTGCCCAACTTATTGAATAAGACCAAGTACATCGTTCACTATCGCAACCTACAGCTGTACCTGTCGTTGGGTATGAGGCTGACCAAAATACACAGGGTGCTCGTGTTCGACCAGAGCCCCAGGATGGAGCCCTACATCAGAATGAACACAGACCTGCGCGAAAGATGGCCACCAGTGACTTTGAGAAAAACCTTTACAAGCTCATGAACAACTCGGTGTTCGTAAGACTATTGAGAACCTGAGGAAACGCGCGACCGTGAAGCTAGTTCGGTCGAAGAGGAAGACAAGCTCAGGGAGACTGATAACCAGCCCGCATTCAACCGAGCAAGATATTCACCGATCTAATCTGGTGTCCCTACAATACGAAGAAAAGCCACATCAAATTCAACCGCCTGTTTACGTGGGGATGAGCATCCCTCGATTTATCCAAACGCCTGATGTACGACTTTTACTACAACGAGCTCAAGAAGCAGTATGGCGACAGGTGTGAAGTGCTGTACACAGACACTGATTCCCTGCTGATGGAGATTCGAACCGAGGACGGTACGAGGACATGAAGAAACGCCTCGATTTGTAATGACACCAGTTAGCGACTACCCCAAGGACCATTCCATACACAGCACGGTAAATAAAAAGGTCCTCGGTAAGATGAAGGACGAGTGTGCTGGAGTTCATAGGCTTGAGACCCAAGATAGACTCCATCCTGAAGGCCGACAATGGTGAGATCCGAAAGGCAAAGGGTGTTAAGAAGTACGTGGTGAAACAACACATCAAACACGCCAGATTCAAGGAAGCCCTGTTCAAGACCCGTACCTTCAGGCATAAAATGAACACGCTTTAGAAGTGATGGGCATAGGATATACGGACTGACGATAAACAAGACGCCCCTGTCGCCGATGGACACTAAGCGTTGGATAGCCATCGACGGTATCAACACGCACGCCGCACGGGCATGAGAAAATTGAACCAAGAACATAGGTGTATATATATACGATGTCACGGAACCAAAGAAAGTTTGAGGCTATTTACTACAGCCCACGTGGGTACTGGAAAGGAGCTTAGCGCCGTACATAAGCTGGCTAAAATGAGTACCCCAAATGAGGCCAAAGCGTGGCTTGAAAAAGAAGCCCTGTGGCAGATCTATTTACCGCACCACGCTTACGTGCCTAGAAGGAAGTTCGGTAATAGCATTCACCAGGCCGACCTCCTATTCCTACCCCACGACAAGAGGTACAAGTATGCCCTAACCGTCGAATGGACGTGGCCAGTTGCTACAAAGGAAGCCAACCCTTGACCGCTGAAAAGACTCGGGCCAGGTAGCCCGCTGGATTCGAACGCGATGTAAAACGCAGTCCGCTGACGTGGCCCACAGAGCTGCAAGTCGACCCTCGGCGGAGTTCATGGGTGCCGCGGTCACACCTGCTAGACAAACATGATACCAAGGTCAGGCATGGCACGGCCGGAGCCCATCGCAGCCAAGCCATAGTTGAGAGATTCAATAGGACTTTGGCCGAAGCTTTATTCGGCATCAGTATGCGAGAGAGATGGCCAACCGGGGAAACGATCGACTGAATGGGTAGCGCCTACCTCAGGTGGTGTCGGCCATCAACCACGAAACCACTCGGCTCACTGGCAAGAAACCAGCCGACGCTTATCAAACTAAAATCAATAGTGGCTGAGTCGGCTGCACCATTGCGTGGGAAGGAGAAACAGATACCTTCGATAGGGCCCGGTGAGGTACCCTCTACCAGCCGGGGAACACAAAGGGGACACTCGGAAACGAGCCACCGACGCCGATATGGTCAGTCAAAGCTTATAACATAGATAAAGTGGACATCAAAGCCGACGAGCCGAACTTGTACTCTACTTGAGAGATGGGCCAGGAGAGGTTTTGTTAGAGGAGGAATTATTAGTCATACCGTACGGCACAATGTTACCCCCAAGCAAAATATTTAACAGTTACCTTGTCGGGTAATCTCAATGGTATCCTGTCAACACGGCATAGAGCTATCATGATAGCCCACGTGATCAGGAAGTGGCACAATAGTGTCACGCGTGGCCGGGAAGTTAACTGGGATTCAAAGTAGTATATACGATGGGGGCGAGATCTAAGGCCTGACAAAAGGTTTATTGATGAAATAAAGCCTTACAGCGACCTTCTTGAAAGTGATCTCGAACCCCAGTATATCTACTACTCGTGATACATATTACGTATTATGTGATGAAGAGAACAAGAATGAGACCATGATCCAGAGTCATGTATTATGAGATGAAGAAAGCAAGAATGAGACCGTGATCCAGAGTCATGTATTATGAGATGAAGAGAGCAAGAATGAGACCGTGATCCAGAGTCATGTATTATGAGATGAAGAAAGCAAGAATGAGACCGTGATCCAGAGTCATGTATTATGAGATGAAGAAAGCAAGAATGAGACCGTGATCCAGAGTCATGTATTATGAGATGAAGAAAGCAAGTTTGAGAACGTGATCCAGAGTCATGTATTATGTGATGAAGAGAGCAAGTTTGAGAACGTGATCCAGAGTCAAGTATTATGTGATGAAGAAAGCAAGTTTGAGAACGTGATCCAGAGTCAAGTATTATGAGATGAAGAGAGAGCAAGTATGAGACCGTGATCCAGAGTCACGCATTATGTGATGAAGAGAGCAAGTATAAAAAATTGATCCAGAGTCAAGGGTTATGTGTGTCGCAGAGACGTTTATTTTGTAAGTTTGCCTTTAGTTTGCAATGACGTTTGTTTGGTAGGTAAACCTTTGGTTTCAAGTGATCACAGGGACATTTATTTTGTAGGAACAGTGTATGTTCTGTTATCTTGTTTACTTCATGTACGTGTCCGTTCCCTTCATGTTATACGATATACATGTTTAGGTTGTATTTGTCAGTGTTTTTCGAAGACACAGTGTTGTTTTGTATGTTTATGTGCTCAGGCATTCATATCAGAGTTTGTTTTGTTCTGTTAAAACATTCCATTTTATTCCTTGGTATTTTGCCCAATGTGCTTATATCATGTTTCATTTATACTTGCATTTGATTGGCTGATTGTGAACCTTAGCCACACTACTATGTATAAATTAACATGATTAACATCATTATCAATTTTCATATTTCGGTCAAGAATACAGTTTTGAACCAGTTTTGTTTACATTGGTAATACAACCACACAAAGGAAAACGTCTATTAGAAGTAATTTCATTTGAAATTATTAAAAATTCTGAAGCACTTCTGATGAGACTGAATGCCCTAGATTTTAAAATAAGCATAAGCTGCTGATAATATTTTTGCGGAATGGAAAAAACAGTTCTCATAGTTCTGCATGTGCGAAGAATTTGGCTTGAGGCTAGACATTGGAACGATTTCCCCTCATCTTGCATTAAAAATATCACAAATCAACAAGTATATCAGTTCTGTCCGTTCTCTTTTAGTTGAACACATTGTTTAATGTTCTAATTCTCATGATACTTTCCAAGCACAAGACCATCTGAGATATGTTAAAAATGTTAATTTTAGCTTCTATACGTTCTACCTGGACAACTGATAAAGGTATGATATAACCATGTTTAATTTCTTAATTATCTTTGAAAACACAATATAAATGCATTAATTATCTGGTGCTATGAGATGAAATGATAACAAATATTTTTATCAATAACTTCATGAATGTATTGTTCTTTATTGTCGAAACCCTTTTTTACGTGTTTATTTCATGTTTATTATGTTTGCTCCTTGTTTTCGATCACAATATTTATATCTGTTATGTATCTATGTTCTATTTATTACTTATGTTTCCTTTGTTTTAGCCCAACTGTGAAACCTGCTCAAATAACACTTATTTGTTATCTTTGGGTTTTGCCAGTGTATTAAACATGTGCCTCACTTCAGAGCACAGGGGGTGGAAATAACTTTAAAATTGATAGTGTACTCCGGTACAGTGGCACATGTAAAGTCACTTGCCCTGATAATTTTTCCACTATACCGACCGTTTTCTTGCTGATTTTTTAAATAAACAACATAATTAACATTGGAAAGTCAACTGGACACCGGTACAGTGTGATATACAAATTTGCTTGCCCGACAGAAAAAAACACTGGACTCGGACGTCGGGCAATGGGTTATTTCCACCCTGGAGCACTATTTCACAAACTACTGATAGACTAACACTTAGTCTCTGTATATATATAGTTTTGAGAGCAACAAATAAACCCATTTAAATGAAAAAGGGGGGCTGCTGTGAGTTGGGAGATTCAGGACCGGAGTAAATCTAGGTTCGCTTCATTCAGGGCTTTAGCGGAAGGTGGGGTAGAAGGGAAAATAATGTGGTTCAAGGACTAGACTAAGTTCACTATGGCTAAAGTATGTCCATTACTTTAACACAGAATTACAACACTGGATTCAACAGTCAGGGTTTGATAGCTTTGTGAAACAGGACACCGTCTTTCATCATGCTTCAGTCTGATACGTTGTTGTGTAGCTAAAATACTGGTCATAACTACATTAAACTCACTCCTCACTTCCTCACTCACTCAAGGAAAACCCTACCTCTGCCGCTGCAGTGTTGTATATTATACATTCTTGTACCTATATTGTATATTCATGTACCTATATTGTACATTCTTGTACCTACATTGTACATTCTTTTGCATTTTTGTACATTCCTGTATCTACTTTGTACATTTATGTACCTATATTGTACATTCTTGTGACCCTTGAAGATCCGGGTTAGAATTGGTGTTCAACAACCATTCTTGTCGTAGGAGCAGTGTGCGAAATAGCCACTGGCCCACTAGCCCGTGACTAGTAAAAATCGAGTCTGGCCAGTAAATCTCCAGAGTCACCGGCCCAACCGGCTAGTGATTTTTCATGGGGTCATTTGTTTTTTATGGTATTTTACCTCTTGGAAATCTTTTGTTTAGTTTCTACATTCAAATTTCGGGCCAGTGAATTATGTTGTGGGCTGGTAACTTTCAGGTATAGCTAGCCCAACTGGCCAGCAAAATTTGGAAACTATTTCGCACACTGCGTAAGAGGCGACTAACGGGATTGGGTGGTCAGGTTCACTGACTTGGCTGACACATGTCATCATATCCTATTTTGTAGATCCATGCTCATGCTGTTGATCACTGGATTGTCTGGTCCTGACTCGATTATTTACAGACCACAGCCACATAGCTGAAATATTGCTGAGTGCGGTGTTAAACAACAAACCAACCAACAAACCAACCAACATTCTTGTCCCTATATTGCAAATTCTTGTACCAAGTAAAGGACAGGAGATGATGGTGTTGTGTGTCCATGATTTTTAACTTCAAGGTTTATACTGCTGCAATACTGTGCATTCCAATTCTAAGGATTTCTGTTGTCACAGAGGTTCTGTGAACAAGCTGACAGATCCACAGCGGATGTTGACAATGAAACTGACGGATGTCTGTATTTAGAGCAGTCATATTGCAATGGAAAGATGTTGATATTGAAATATAAATTTTGAGATGAAACAGTAATCTGTGACTGTTTAAGTGTTCCTGCTTGCCAGTTTATCATGGCGTGTTATTATCATGAGTATAGGTGAGCTCTTCAAAGGTGATGTGACAACACAGACAATACTTCATGCATGCAACTTCCAAAACAGACCATTCATATGCCTTGTATACAGAATAGTGAGCGAGCACGCATGCAGTGCCTTCTCACTCACTCACTCACTCACTCACCCACCCACACCCACCCACTCACTCACTCACTCACTCACTCACTGAGCATGAAGAGAGCCTGGCATACCATATCTGCAAACAAAGTCATCCTAGCATCTGTTACCGCTTCCTGCCATAGAATAGCATAGGCTTCCACCCACTTAGTGAAATAATCCTGTACCACCAGGCTATACCTGTTTCCCATCTTGGTAACTGGCCATGGTCCCGATATGTCTACAGCAATGTGCTGGAAGTGTAACAGATATCCTGAGACTGAACCATGCAGACTTGCTCTTGGACATGGAATATGAGATTTCTGGGACATGTCTTGACCCATATTTCTGCATCCTTTCTCCAACCTGGCCAATAATAGCAAGTGTTAATTTCTTACTTTCTTTTCTTGATGCCTGAATATCCACCTCCAGCAGCTGTTTCATGAACCCCTTCCAAGACTTCCTTAACCATTTCTGGGGGAACTGCAGCCTGATTTCTTTTAGTCCATCCAACTCTCTCACCAAGATTCCACCGACTATCTTTAAAAAATCCCACTACTAGGCCCCGTTCCACCAAGCCACGACCGGTATATGACCGAGCGTGGTCACTCCGACCAGTTCGATCACAGCCGGTCGCATAATTTTTGCGACCGAGTTTGACACATTTTGACTTTCAGGATACACCAGGCCAGCTGTGCGATCCCACTACGACTAAAAAATGTTCACGGGTCATTTTTGGGGTGAGTAAGTTGAGACCGAGTTGAGAGTGATTGGTCGTATAGTCGTCGCAATATGGCCATACTGTGGTACGACAGTATTGGCGATTTTCCCTGCGAGCAGTCACGACTGGGTTGAGACCAACGCAACAGTTTCTGCGACCGATCTGCAATTGACTTGTGACCAGTGCGACTGTGTACTTTTTGTAAGATCGCATCGAGACCAAAACGACCTGACCAAGATTTATTCGTGATCGGTCACCCAAAAAAGTTTAAAAGTGGCCGTGACCGACTGAGATCGTGTCATTCTGAGCCTGAACAGCAGACTGAAAACACCTAGAGAAGATGGACACTGAAATGACCCTGGTCCTTGCCTTGCTGTCGGAAACCCACCAGCAAATACAGGATATTGGTAATTGCACCTTGGCTATTGTTAGACACATTCAGCGAAGGAGAAGAAGGCGTCGACGGCTTGAAGTTTGGGTACGAGAGTGGCTTATGAGACGAGACCACTGCCAGTAGTATGCATCAAGTTTCAAAGAACACTTGGAGAATGGTACACTTGGCATTCCCCCAGCTGAACCTATTGAACCAGCTGACCCTAAATCAGATGATCAATCTAGGAACCTGCCCTACTTCATATTGGCCGATGATGCTTTTTGCCATGAGAATATTTCTCATGAAGCCTTGGTCCAAGAGAAATGTGAGCAAAGAAGAACTGATCTACAACTACCATATATCAAGGGGAAGACGTGGTAGAGAATGCTTTCGGTATTATGGCTAACAGATGGAAGTGTCTCATGTCTGTGTTGCATCAAACCCCTGAAATTGTCCAGACAATGACAGAGTACTGTAGGGATGCACACAAACAGCACACCTCTTGAGGTTGAGGCACCCAGGCATCCAAGACGTCGACGTTGACCATGATGACGACAATCATTAACTCGTGTTAGGCTCTTGGAGACGAGGCATCACTCTCGATGAAGACAACGGTCCTCCTGAAACCGCAAACAAGGACCATAAAGCTGCCAAGACTACTTCAACGACCCAATGAGAGGAGCAGTTGCTTGGCAGGACAGAATGGTGACATTCGCCCGCTTACCTCGACAGGAGAACCCAGATATGTAATAACATCCCTTGATGTCATGTGATTTGATGTCATGTGAGAACAGTCCAGAATGAGGTGTTGTATGAAATCGAAACAACCGTGTGTTTGTATATTGTACAGTATTGTGTTTTAAAACTTATTAATCTGTCCACGTTAATGATTATATCATTAAATATTTAATTCTCTCTTATTGTCTGGGGTTTGTTTCGGAGCGAGTTGGGTTTCACAATGTGCCGGGTGTATGCATGATAAGCAAGCACAGGGTTACATCTTTCACTTCTAGTTATATTTAAGAGCCAAGCCTCTTTATTACAGCAAGCATGATCTCTTAATTCAAGTATATGAGTCAGAAGAAAATGGAAACGTCTTTTTTAAGTCAAGTCCAGTGAGACGACAATGCCTGTAGCTTATTACTTCAAATAAACTTTGGGAAGGCAAGATTTCTGAGTGAACTTCGTTATTGGGAATAACACCACTTTTCCTAACTCCTTCATCAGGTGATTGTCTTAATATTGTCACTCCTTCACCTGATAAAGGAGATAGGGCCTACTCTGAAAGTGGTGTTATCCCAATTAAGCTCACATCCAGACATGTTGCTTTATATTCCACTTGTAAATGATTTATTATATCAAATAAACAACCCCTGATCACGCTATTTGGTCGCAAGTGAAAGAATCGCACAAATGCAATGTGAGTGAGTGCGATCAAGTTGTGAGTTCATGCAACCGACATGCGACCGCACCAGCACCCCACGATGCGAGCACACTGCGAGCACACTGCGACCGAAGTAGCGAGTGAGCCATCGGTCGCATCGGTCGCAAAAGTTGTGCGAGTGTATGGAACCGTTTCATACACTTGCAGAACCCTCTGCGACTGAGTGTGAGTGAGGGAGATCGTTTCTGCGAGTATGGCGAGCTTCCTAAGACCAAACAACAATCTCCGTGCGAGTGTGCGCGAGAGGCAAAAATCGGTCGCAGTGGGGTCGCAAGCATGGTTTATTAACAAGAGCTTCCACAAACCTTCTAACAGGACGAGTCAAATGTGTGTACTGTTCTTTCTCAACAGCCTGATACAAAGAGCACAATCCCTTCTTCTGTGCTTGTTCCAAAGGAGATTGAGCGGTCACAACAGACATGTCTATTCTGTGACATTGCTTACAGGGCATACGAGACAAAGCGTCCGCATTTCCATTACGTCCAGGTCTATGCTTGATCCCGAGCCTTCCACAACAAGCATTGGTTGTAGAAGACCAATGCAACCCCGATCTTCACGGGTACCACTCTTGAAAGAAGACATCTTTCAGTCTCATTTCTACTCCATTTAAAAAGTATTCCATTTTCTCCATAAATAATTCTTCTATATGTAATTTAATATAATCTTTCATAGTTTGGAGTTTTGTTCACGCAGCGAATCGTCTAGATGCAGAATTGCCTGCATGTATGGATATTTTTTCATGTCTGGATGAAGAATTGTCTGTTTTTGTAGTCGTCTGGATGTTTTGATGTCTGCATGAAGAATTGTCTGTTTTGGAAGTCGTCTGCATGAAGAATTGTCTGTTTTGGAAGTTGTCTGCATGAAGAATTGTCTGTTTTGGAAGTTGTCTGCATGAAGAATTGTCTGTTTTGAAGATCGTCTGCATGAAGAATTGTCTGTTTTGGAAGTTGTCTGCATGAAGAATTGTCTGTTTTGGAGATCGTCTGCATGAAGAACTGTCTGTTTTGGAGGTCGTCTGCATGAAGAATTACCTGTGTAGATATTTTTACGTGTTGGAAGTCGTCTGCATGAACAATTATCTACATGAGCCTTTGTATATTTGGGGAATCGTCCTAAGCCACTTAAGGTCAAGTAATTTGCTGTCCAGAGGAATTCCAGAATCCAATGACTTGGTTTGAATCCCAGATTCAGCATATCTTGGATTCCTCATCAGTGCCATGCTAAAGCTTGTAGTTTTCAACAATGGGATACCAGTACACGTGTTGACCTGTTTCACGTCAACGTAACAAGCCATGCTTTAACAGGCTGTCCAAACATCACACACCCCAGCTCCAAACAAACCAACACACACAAAATTTGTAAATAAATTTAATACTTTCACATAATCTTAATACATGTATTCTGAGATCAAATATATTACAGAAGAAATATGTACATGTAGTACAATGGCAATGTCAAACAATATTCATCAGCATCATTTTTGAGAAGCAGACAGGCACCTTGTATCACAGATGAACATGGGAATTACTGCATCACTTCCCCCTACTGAAAGCAAATACTGCTTAAAGCCGCTTCAGCAATTTTGCAGTGATGAGTGAGTGAGTATGGTTTTATGCTGCTTTTAGCACTATTCTGGCAGGGGACACCAGAAATGGGGTTCACATTGTACCCATATGGGGAATCAAACCCAGGTCTTCAGCATGACGCTTTAACCGCTAGGCTACCCCACTGATGACATCTCACACTGAACAAGGGCAG